GTAGAAACTGAATTTCTAAGCAAATACCTTGGTATAATACTATAAAGGGTATTTAAAATACTAACACTATGAAGTTGAATATAGAGTGTAATACATGGATCCAGTTTTAAAATCCTGAAGTTTTATTGCTATATGACAATAATCTACTTATATTAAAACCATCCTTCGTACGATTGCATACAAGTTACAATTTTCTATAATTTTGTTAAAGCTCTGAGATCTTATAACCATTAACTTAATGTATGTCAGAAAATAATACTCAAAGCAACTGGTATTGTTAAATACTTATATCGGTGGAATGATAAGTTATTAATATATTCGAGCGTCAATAATATACAAAATAACATATGAACAGTCTTATTAATCAAATATTTTACATAAAAGATATATCGAACTAATTTACAGTTTATTTTCGTATGCTAATATTAAACAATGAAAAAATTTTATTAGGATTTTTTGACACTATTACACTAGTAAAAGTTAGAGACCAGTGTTTAACAGAAAATTTGCTTTGTTGCCATTGCTATCACTTAGGGCCACTTTTTACTATAAATTACATTATATAATATACAATGGGGTTTCAAACTGCATAATAATGTAATGTAGTAAGTAATGTTTATGAGTAAAAAACTAAGTGTAATATGTAAAAAAGACTGAGTAAGTACATACTTAGTTTCAAATTTACGTATTAATTACTTTTCTATCATGAAGCATAACCTTAATGTTTTATTGCCGAATCAATAATTAAGAAAAATGTGGTTATTGATATTTTACGTTACTTTTTATGGTAAAAAAACAAAAACGTTGAATTTGGACCTCATAAACATTTACTTGATTATGAAATTAGCTACGTGTATTTTTATTTGTTATACTATATTCCAACCCCAAAGTTTAATGAAATTTTCGTTTCTCATTTTAATATATCATAGCATTCTTATTTCACAACTATTAAATCGTAAACTTTTTTACTTAGGGTGAGCACTCACAGGTATTAATTAATATTTGTGATGGCAAAACAACAAGTCTTCATCTCAAACCTTATAGCATTTAACTATTTCCTAACTAAAATTAATTTATCCTATTCAATGAACACAAGAGATTGGATGTGTCCATCCAAAAATATTTTGCTACATGACTATACATTATTTCATACATTTACATGGAACTTAGTTCGTGTAACAATGTGACTTGAATTGTTCTGTCGTAGCCATTAAAGTGCAAAATAATAAAAGAACGTTTAGGTACTATACAATATGGCTTCGGAAAAGCATAGCGCAACCGCTCACAACAACCTCTTAGGATACTTGGTATAAACAAAAATAAATTGAGCTGCCTCTCGCGTTGCTATTCCTTATTTAAACTAATTAGCAGACCTTAACAACAGTTTTACAAAACTATATAAAGCATCATTACAGATTAGATTAAAAAAACTTTGCATTGAATTTGTTCCAATCTGTTTATATAACAACCTTAAAACTAATAACTTATAAATCAAATAAATGTAATTTAAATTTGCGAACAAATGTGCATAACAATAAAAACCTTAAAGTAATAAATATTCACATCAAATTGTTCTATCGACAATCGAACATACTAAGTTTCTACACATAATATATTTATATATTATATAAAATTTACATATTTCCAAGTTTCCATTCATCGTACAAACTATAAAGTTGCAATATTCATAAGAGATTTCACATTCAACTAGCACCTAATAACTGAAGATAAAAAAATCCCGAAATTGTACCTACAAAACATTAGTTTAAATTCGATACTGTGTAGTGCAATTTGTACTGTTTAATAATAGACATCTTACACCAATCCCTGAAATATTTTGTTATTTTTAATGACTATCGTTGTGGTATTTTAAATAATACAGTATATGAAATGCTAATATTAAGATTTCAAAGATATTTGCAGAAATGTCAGTCTTTGATCAGTGGCATTATTTTATTAGCGAATTTAGTTTTATATTACTTTGACACTGGCACAATATTTAACGACTGTTGCCATTAACAAAAATATATTCCATGATATCGGATTAATTTGGTAATTTTGTTGGGTATTTTTATATATGCTACGAATAAGGGAAACTGAGCAAGTTTTAGTAAACTTAATTCTTATTATTGAGGTAGAAAGAAATGCAAAGCGATACATTATACAAAAATCGAAATTTTAATTATACTTTAATAATTAAATTCCTACGTCACACATACTATTTAAATTTAATTTATCGAGTAAGTTTATTATACCCTATATTATATATGTATAGGAATGTTCAAGGAAGCAATAAATTAACCAATGGCATATATGCCTTTTAAGAATTAATACTAAAATTGTAACAAAATTAATGAACGTTATTGGCTTCTGTTCAAAAGCATTGTGTACCTGTATCAATAAACTGAAAACATGTGGAAATACTTTCCAAAACAATTAGATGGCACTCGATTCTTTATCTTAAATAATTACGCCTTTTTCTTATGTCACGATAAATTTAAAACAGTCTAAAACAAAATCAATGCCTTGAAGGCGTCTTGTAGTACGATGTATGATAGGTATGATAAAACATTAGCTCGCTCGCCACAATCGTCGAGCCAGGGGCACTAAGGCGGAGACTTTTAGAACGGACAATATAACCAATCTCGAAGATCTCGGCTCAGCGTTTCGACCATCACTAACCGGGGCGGGTCCGAGCGATTAAACTATTCAATTTTTTTTTTCAGAAGATAAAAACAAAAACGATATTCAAATGTGTTCTTATTATGACCTGAAATTAATAAGCCCTTTTATCAACTTTTACACAACATTATAAAATCTCTGCAAATTACGCGTTTAAATTGCGATTTAGTGTCATTTTTATTTGTCGAGCCAATTATTACGATTAGCTTTTGACCTCACACAGCACTTGTTCGTATCGTTTTTTGTTTTTGCGCAATAATTACATCGCATTGGATTTATAGTGGTACCTACATGCGCGTGCGTACGTGCACAAGTGGGCGTGCATGTGTGGTGTATTATGTAATATAAGGGTCCTAAATAATTTTGCAACAGACTTCTGTCTAACACACTATAGTGCATAATTGACCCTGAATTTGTCGAAAAGTAATCCGCATTATTGTTATATGGTTAACGACCAAGTATTTGCAATGACTGCACTTAGCAATGTGTATATATTGAAGATTACTATTTAGGCTAAAATTAATAAATAATATCGAATACTGTGGATATAGTATATTTTAGCTCGTTCTAATTACTCTTTATTTCGTTTTTATTATAATAATACGATAAGTAGAGGTATAATAGACGCATTCGTAGTGATAATTACAACATGTAATTCTATATCCATTACGCATAATGTGATAATACTCCCTGTACGTACATACTTTTTTTGCATTGATTTTAAAGTTTGGCAAAAGAAACTAAGCGATGTGGGAAAGCGATTTATATTTTGTATATTTGGAGTAAAAACGTATAAAAATTAACAAAATATTTTTCTCTTCATGTGGGTTAGTCGTGTAGGTAAATATTTGGCACCTTCCGGCGGTGAGGTTATCTACTCTAAAGTAAAATCTCTAAATTTTTCGGACAAAATTCTAAATTATTAAAACGTTTAAATCACTCCTGGTATTACTTGACATTGACAAACAAAATCAACAACAATAATGAAGACAACTCTCGGAACGAATCGTAGCTCACAAATTAGCAAAATCGACTGACGTTTTTTGTAGTTTATGGGTTATTGTTATCATTGGTTGGACTAAAGTTATAGAACGTACCGAAAAACGCGTATCGCATCGTAATTTTTTGTAGTCTTCGGCGAGTGTAAATATAGATAGCAACAGTGTGCGAGCGAGAAGTGACGCCATTTTCAATCCCTCGGGTGATACATAAACGAATGTTTTCAGACACCATATGTAAGAATATTTTCTGCGTTACATTTCTATTTCAGAAATAAACGTGTACACATTGACATTAGTTAGCAAGTGTTTCTCTACGGTTATAATTTTTTTCCGCATCCACATAAGGTCATAACGAAAGATCTGAGTAAATCCGATAGTGTTAAATGAATAGCAATTCCCCGGCGTCAAGCTATAGAGGATATGTTTGTATATTCAGTTAGATTGAAGGACGAGCGAGATCTCAATGTCGAAGTGTTTGTAAGTGTAAAATGGTAGTATCATTATTTCCTATGCTCTGTAAGGGTCAGCGCGTCTACTGACAAGCGGCTGTGTTGGTGGCACTGTAAGAATGTTGGTAGCTCTGAATGAATTGGCACCGACCCCAGCGTCAGTTGCCGCGTCCCAGTACAGCGTGGGTGGGCGAATCACGTGGTTACTTTATGAGATTGGGGAGCAAACGGGATTTTAGCGTCGAAGTGTGTGACTAGTCCTACGATGTGTAAGAGACATCGCTGACACAAGCTTGTATCGGTGGAAATATGAGAATGTAGGTAGCACTGAATATATCGACAGCGGTTCCTGGCGCCGTGTGCGCACACGAGCCATGCGGTCACTACGAGACTGCGGAATCTCCATGTCGAAGTGTGTGTGTAAGTGTAAAATGGTAGTATAATTTACTATGCTCTGTTATGCCACATTTACACTCGATCACTGCCACTGCTCCTATCGTTGCCGGAAATATTTCCCTAAATACTTCAGCGACAATAACGACGCATAGTCAGGTAACACAACACGTAGCATAGCACGTTCTTTCTCGGCAAGTGAGCGAGAATGTTCGCTCGCTCGCGTTCGCGCTGCCCGTCCTTTGACTTCCGCGCGAAAAACCGATAATTGATTGAGGGAGCGCCGGGCAGTGGCAGCGGCATGGGCAGTGACAGCGCGAGTAACCTATTTACATACACGCGCTGCCCACATTCCTGCCTAACAAGGCTGAGTGTAAATGTGGCATAAGGGTGTGCGCGTTCGCTGACACGAGTGGGTGTGTCGGTGGCAATGTGAGCACGTTGGTAGCACTGAATGTATTGTCAGTCAGGGCAGTCACGCGGTCACTTTACGAGGCTGGAGAGCGAGCGGGATCTCAGTGTCGGAGTGAGTGAGCGCGCGGCAAGCGGCGCCGCCCGCGCACAGGCGCGCGCGCCGCGACCGCCGCCGCGAGCCGCGCCGCTCGCAGCCCCCGCACCCGCCGCACACGGCCCACCCGGCGCAGCCTGCGCACACCGGTGCACACATCCCGTTTTACAACATGTCATAAAAGCCCTGTGCTTCCTGTTGAGTGCGTTATCTAAATTAGTATTCAAACACACAGAAATAACTTTACTTTAGAAAACTCGACCGTAAAAAAATTTAATTTAATTTAAATATTTTTTTATTTGCAAATTGTATGTGGTTTTACTACGTAGGTCACTCAATAAGTTTTGAGATGCTCCAAATTTAAAAATGGAACGCACCCGTGTTACATGTTTCTAAAAGCAAATCTATTTAAAAATAGAACTTTATAAGCCGATTGCTCAATATTAAAAAAAAAAAAAAACAAAGTTCTATTAATTTTCCTGCAACGCTTCCCGCGCTTTTCATTTAAAACGATGGATCTTAGCTGTAAACATTTGCGCGCTGTTCTATTATGATTTTAAATTTGGTTTAACCGAACAATAAGTTTACACTGGTTACAATCAGCATTAGGGGACTCAGCTCCATCACGCGCAACAATTTTAAGGTGGTTTGCTGAATTTAAAAGCGGTAAAATTAAAATTAAACAGCAGTAACAGCAGAAAATGTATGGACTACCGAAATGATGGTGCCAGAAGACCCACGAATCACACATACGGACATCGAAAAGATTGTAGGCATTAGTTGCAGGAGTATTCATACCATCCTACATCAACATCTTGGAGTGAGGAAACTTTGTTGTCGATGGATCCGTCGTTTGCTCTCCGAAAGCGAAAAACAGACTCTTGTGGATTGGTGCCATGAAATGCGTCTACGTTTGAAAACTAGGCATCTAGGTGTGTTTCAGAAATCGTTACAGGTGACGAGACATGGATCTACCAATACGATCCGGAAAATAAAAAGCAATTATCGGGATGGGTCTACTAAGAAGGACAGTTACCGACGAAACTGCAAAGACCTCGCAACGTCGGCAAAAAAATGGTAGTTTTTTTCTCGATGCGGACATTTATCGACGTCAATGCCGGAAAATTGTAGGTCAGTTAACTCTAAATGGTATACTACAGTTGCATTACTCAAAGCTTTTCAAGCTTCGGGGAATCATGCTGCATCACGATAACGCCACCTCAAATACCTCCCTTAGAACAAAAGCATTTATTGAGGAATCTGATGTAGAAGCTTTAAGTCACCCACCCTAAAGCCCTGACTTAGCTCTCTTTGATTTCTTTTTGTTCCCAAGAGTCAAAGAAAAAATAAAAGGCAAGTTTTTTCAAGCGTCGAAGAAGCCGTGACTGCCTACAAAAAAGCGATTTCCGACCTGTCTTTGTATAGAGCATGATGGAGAATATTTTGAAAAGATGTAAAATAAATATTAATAATATCTAGAATAATTTTGTATATCTCAAAAACTATTGTGTGTCCTGCGTACCTCTAACTGACACGCGCATCTGTAAAACGGAGACTTTGCAATACTCGCACTCTCCGGCTAAGTAGCCAATGCAAAGGTAATAAAACCACATTTGCAAATAATAATTTTCTATAATTTGAATTTTTTGTGGTCGAGTTTTCTGAAGTAAAGTTATTTCTATATGTTTGAATACCTATTATGATAACGTACTTAACAGGAACCACAGGATTTTTGTTACATTTAGTGGAGCCACGACTCGTGAGCACAACCTTGACACGCGCAATACTTGATTTATAACTCTTTTTGTGCGTATTTGGTACAGTAAATATTTTTTCACGAGATTGGTGCGTTATTTAATTAATCTTCATCATTCACTGTAATATATTCACATGACATTCGCCAGCAATATATCGGTTAGAAAATGTACATGTGCAAATGCTGTCGCTTGGTGCTCACGACTCGCACCGCTGTATTTTACGATATTAGAGACATGCACAACGCGCAGACATCAACTTCAGACCCAGAATACGAATCCGCTTCCGTTCTCCCCACCTTAATGGATCCGAACCAGATCTAAGTTATTTTCTGCGCGTAGTAAAGGTCGATTTACATCGGACAAGGCTGATCCGTTCAAATGCTGAGCAGAAGGAGCTTCAAGTGGCTTAGAATTTCCGTTTTATATTTCCTTAATATATTTATAATCTAAAGTTTGCTTAAACAAAGTTCCATTCGACCAGCACTGAACGGATATTAACATTAGTACTAATTCTAACTCTGACTGACTTGAATCTGCACGAGAGCTTAACAGTTATTTCATTTTATTAAGTGATACACATTAGAAGGTGATATGTACCCCATCAATCTGCGTTTTCTAGGAAACATTACATACATACGTAGGCAACAAAAAGTTCAATGTTCACCTCTATAGACTGATTGAACATTGGAAAGCGTCGCAGATCCAAGTTAACCACCGACGTTCGAACTAACATCGGTTGACTGACGCCTATTACTATCGCGAGGTAAATCGACCTTAACGGACATATCTGTGTGACAAAGGAAAGAGCGGCTTTTTGCATTTTTTGTATTGAATGCAATTGGATGTAACAGTAAGTAAATCTGCAAAAATTTTTAGTTTGATAAATTATTTGCTTGTCAACGAAGTGGATACTTTATTCAATGGGTTTAATGTTTGAATAAATTACTTCTCCCATTCAGGACGGGATTTAGTTTGAATGAGCTATGAAAGCCAGCCTCCCCTTTGGACATAGACAGTCGCACGACATCCATGGTGTGATGATAGTGAATGATTTATTTTATTAAAAAGAAGACTTGTAAATTTAATCAGGTTAAATAGTAAACTACTGAGAATTAAGAACCCTTAAAATATATACATATTTATTTCCAGATATTCTTAATCTTAATTACAAAACATAATCGCAGCCGGATGTGAATTTTTTTGTAATTTATTAAGAGCAGAACAAGTAAAAATCATTCACGATCACCTGTTGTAATCCGCAATTAACTAATTACTTTTCGAAAGGACTACTTCATTATAAAATTGATGTTACTCTCGTGTGTGAACAAGACCAGGTAAAATTCGAAAAATAACGGGTCATCGGAGATTACTAGTATTAAAATATGTATAAAAAAATAACGTACACACAACGACAATATATTTTCAATCATTATGCAGTATTACAACTACAAGCAAAGGCATAACCAAACGTACATTTTCAGTATGAATACAAAACAAGTAGTATTCACTGTGCATGAACTCGACAAAGTAGCGTAAAAAACAAGCCAACCGATGAAAATTGTATAATGACATAATATGCATTGTATGGTTATCGCGAGCGAATATAATGACGTATAAATAATACTGCTTCCAAGTGAAATATTCTTAAAACAATAAGGAAAAAGAATAAACATTTTTATTTATATGGTAAAGATTGCCAGTGTTTTGTTTAGATTTTTTCCATCGTAAGGCAATTCTTTTCGTATTCAAGCCTAAACATCAAAGACAAGGTTCAGTTCAGTTTTAGAATACTGGTTATTCTAAAACTGTCACTCATGGACACCCAAATCAACTTCAGACAATGGTTCAAATGCTTTGCCAGCCTGTAATTATGCTGGCACTTGTATTAAACAATGAATGTAAGGAGGCATAATTAGGTAAGCCACACGGAGCAGTTCTACAAACCAGGTAGATAACAAAAATACATTCGAATATTTTAAATATGCTGAAAATATTAACATCACTCTATTAAATAACACACACGACAACGGAAACATTGATAACTGCTATACTTTCGTAGAGAAACTTCGCCAGAAAAAAAAAATTTAAATAACTAAGAATCTAGAATATGCTATTGTCATCATGTATATAGATATTATCTGATAATTCATTCTCAAAATAAATGAAAAGTTATTAAAACAAAATACGATTTTTTTATTATGAACAGATTTTAGCTGTTTTGAACAGATTTTGATTTAAAAATTAAGTCAATTATTAATACCTATATACATAAAACAATAATTTAAAATTGGAAAATAGTCATTGCATAAATTATAATATCCACCAAAAATTCTAATGTATCGTTTAATTGTATAACGGGTTTGTTCAGAAATGCAAAAGACATGTCAGGTGATATTACAAATCTATGACACTAATAATATTTAGTCGATTGCAATCACTTCTACCGATTTTTAACCGTAACTGAACCGTAAATTAATTCGAACTGTCTTTCAATCAACAACAATCATTAGGAGTCAATATTAAATTATGCAAAAATATTATTTTTAATATATCTATTCAACCCAATATTAATTTGTAGTCACCGAAAGTGAACTACAGAGTGGTTTGAGTTAAATCATTAGCAGACTACTGCCTTACAGACGCTTCTAAAATCTTGAGTAATGCCTTCCAAATATTGCAAAAATAAACAACATAAAAAACTTGATAAATATGATGTTTTATGCAAAGTAAAATAATAGTAGGCAGCGTTAGAAATTAGTTAATAAATTTTTCAAATATATTTTGTAATATAAAGATATTTATTAGGTAAAAATTGTGTAGCTAATGAATATATTTTTCGATATTTACAAAACTAACATTTACATCAAGAAATCCTTCAAGAGTAATATATTTTAGATGACCTTTTTTACCGTTTGGAAAAAAATAGGGTGTAACATCTGAACGGAGTAGAAGCCTATGGCACTGATATTTTACAAAAAATAAAAACAAAAATTTTGAATTAAATAAATGAATAAATAAAAATCAAATCATATGCACCCTACTTTATGAATGCTACTGCGTTATTATGAACGTTATTACGAAAAGTTTTTGTTTTTATTTTTTGTAAAATATCAGTGCCATAGGCTTCTACTCCGTTCACATGTTACACCCTATTTTTTCCAGACGGTAAAAAAGGTCATACAGTATACGCAAATTATATTCACACATTAGCAAACACAATCGAAATTATGATGGCATTGTTACATCGGTAGCGAAAAATGCCAATTATACATATTCATAAAAAATATCCACTAATGGGAATGAGTTTTAAGGATCACAGTGAGAAATAAAATAAAATGAAAGAAAAACCACATTCAATAGTGCAGTGCAAAGAGGAACACGGCGCGCTAAAGCATGCAGCAGGCAAATCCAGCCCCCATAGCATGAATACTGTGCTGTCAGTTAAATTAGCCAAGGCTTTTCTCTCCTTGCGCAAAGAAATTATCAGCGCAATGGTCAACTATGGTACCTTAGTTTCATCTTAAGAATATAATTTATAAAATATTTGATGTTAAAATAAAATACATGAAATGTGACGTCCGTTCGTCTATAAATTAAAACTTTAACGCATATAATAATAAAGCAGTATTTTGTTTGTATGTGTCAAAGTATATTTTAAAACTTTTGTGAAATTTTCCAAAACTTAACCTTCTTAGTAGCATGACCATGAGAACGAACAATCGCGTTCAAAAGTTACTTATTATAATGATTTTTTTTTAATTTTTATGATAATGGTTGTGGCTATCAATGCCGCGCACTAACTTGTCATAAAATCAAAATCTACTACTGGTACTCACGTGTTTTATACTCCCCGGCGTTCCTAAACGCCTACCACAACCTTAGACCACTTGACAAAGCGAACAGAAAAGGAGAGCAAAGCCCCAGGTGGCGTTAGTGTTGCGCACCGAAGCGTTCGTACAATGACACAGTACCGGTGCGCGAGGGCCGTTTCAAAACAAAAACTCTAGGCAGGCCACAAGCACGTAGAGAGCGGTGCTCTCGTCGCGCGCCTCCCGCGCACAGCCCGCGGCCGCCGTGACGGGCGGGGCGAGTGCGAGGGCGGGCGCGGGCGCGGGGGCGGGCGCGGGCGGCGTACCGGCGCGCGAGCGGGCCGCGTCCAGCGACGCGGCCGGCTGCAGGAACCACTCCGAGCGGCTCCGCATACGCGCCCGCTGCCGCTCGTGCACCTACGCACCACCGCAATATCACGCGACACCTTACCCCCAGTACCGGCGCAATCGCTATGCCTAGTACTGACGCAACGTTTCATTTCCCTCTGTCATCCTCATAATAGTCTAATTTCATGCGACGCTCATTTCTCTTAGTCACATTGTGAAAGTTGACAAAATGACATCTATGTAACGAATTGCATACCACTAAAACTATATAGCTATTCTCCTTTATCAGACTATGTACACAATCCACACTACTTCACACCGGGCTTCTCTGTGTGAGGATCTGCCGTAATCGTCACGTTATTGATAAATCGGCGATAGCACACGCACCTTTGGTGCTACTCGTATTCTCCGTCTTAGTATTTTCGATCGTGTTGTGCGACTTAGTCGTAAGCTATAAGACTTGCCTAAAGCCGTCACACACTGTAACAACTAAACACCTACTCGTCTCAAATTCAGCCATTGAAATGTGAGCTCTATATTATTGACTCACGTACAGATATAATTTTTCTAAATATAAATAAAAGTAGCATAATTGCGACGGAGTCGTTACAATGCGTAACGGTCATAAATCGACTCAAGAAACAATACAGTTATAAACACATGAGCAGCAAAGATAGTGTAAAAAAAAGGCTGAAATTACGCTACGCAGCTATGTAAAAATATATAATTAACAATATTTTTTATATTATTATCTGCAATAATGAATCTTATTTGTCACAACAAGCTTGTAAAATGTATTGATTGCACCAAAATAAAAATAGGAACAACAACGTCGCCACGACCGAACGATCCTCACCTTTCGAACGAAAGTAACATTCAGTACAATCTATAGTCCGTTCGCACAGTTTCCACATTTATAAATGCAGCGACTGACTAAAGAATTTCGTGAGTAGTATATTATTATATATATTATACATAGTCCGCGTGTAATTTATTATTCGATTGGATTTCATGGTTTTCTTATTTTTTTTGCGCGAAATCCTAATTCTTTTCCTAAACTAAAAGTAGTCTAAAGTACTCCTTATAACCTCACCTATCTGCTAGTGAAAATCCTGACAAATTAGGAGATATGGACTTGGACTCGGCCTTAGAGAGAACTAGCTTAAAGATTCCAAGAAATTTATTATATTTTAAGATTTTTTTCATATTAAAGAAATGTCTGTAATTTGTATTTTTAATTTAATTTCGAAGAATAAAAAATATTTGTTCCCTTAATATAATTAATATTATTTTTTAAATTGTTTTTTTTCTATCCATCCTATTTATTTTAGTTTAAAAATTACACTACGGCCGCCGAAGGCAATACTGAGTGTTCGTGTTCAAACAGTCACTGTAAATTTGACGTGCATAGAATCACGATAAAAACAATTTTATCTTTTATATATTTTATCACAGCACTGGTGATGCTCTTTACACCGGCCGAGCCAATATTTCTCGGGAAAACGTCTCCGAATGCAGGGACAAACTTGTGTCTGAAGTCGAGTCTTTGCTGAACAGAGTCTCGGATTGGGGGCGACTAAATCTAGTCCAGTTTAACCCCCAGAAGACACAAGTTTGCGCGTTAACCGCTAAAAAGAACCCCTTTGTCGTATCTCCTCAGTTTCAAGGCACTCCCCTTGTTGCCTCAGCCAGTATCGGTATCCTCGGCGTCGACATATCGAGTGACGTGCAGTTTCGTGGTCACTTGGAAGAGAAGGCCAAATTGGCCTCTAAAAAGCTTGGCGTGCTCAGCAGAGCGGGACAGTATTTCATGCCGGCACACCACCTGCAACTTTACAAGGCGCAGGTTCGGCCGCACATGGAATACTGTTCCCATCTCTGGGCTGGGGCTCCCCAGTACCAGCTCATTCCACCTCCATCCAGCGCAGAGCGGCTCGAGTCGTCGACGACCGAGTGTTTTCCGATCGGCTCGAGTCACTGGCACTGCGAAGAGATGTTGCATCTCTTTGCATTTTCTTTCGCATATACCATGGAGAGTGCTCTGAGGAATTGTTCGGATTAATCCCAGCCGCCAAATTTCGTGAACGCACTACGCGGCAAACGTCGCGATACCATCCATATCATCTGGATGCTTGGCGGTCCACCACTGTACGTTTCAAGAGGAGTTTTCTTCCGCGTACAACCTCTCTGTGGAATAGTTTACCACCAGCGATTTTTCCGTACCGATACGACCTGGGGACCTTCAAGAAAAGAGCGTACTCCTTTCTAAAGGGCCGGCAACGCACCTGCAATTCTCCTGGTGTTGCGGTTGATCATGGGCGGCGGTAGTCACCTAACATCAGGTGAGCTGCATGCTCGTTTGTCCCCTCTTCTATAAAAAAAAATATTCATATAAAAATATAATCAATATAAAAGAAACCAGTATAATTTTAAATCCGTACTGCGCTCATAAATAATTAAACTAGGCAATTTAAAAGTAATCTGTTTATTAAATTATAGGGTTGGATTTAGAATCGTTTGGCAGGAAGTTGGGGGAGTAAGGTATTTTATTTGGTAGAGGTTTGGTCACCGATTATAACAATAACCACTTGCATTAAAAAGTAATGCACCGTTTTCGAGAAGAAAAAACTATTATAACCTAAAATATGTAAAACATGGAAAAACGTCTGCAATATTACTGTGAAAGCTGGGTAGCATACAGAAATTTGTGCAAGTGCGACAAGGACGTAAGACCATGTCAAAGTCTGATGTCACATTATACTTCTATAGTATTTTTATTTTTCTGTGGCTATACTCTGTCAAGTGTCAAATCGCTTGACGTACTAATTTTTATACTTTCCGAACCGAATGTAATGGTGGGGACGATCTTGAACATGTTTGCAGACTGCAGACTTCCCGGAGCGTCGATGCTTCACGTCAGTATATGTTCTTTCACGCGGGTTTTTATGGATCTTTAGTTTGACGTATGTAAGAAAGACCACATTCACAATCTAACTTGTACACTCCTGCATCTTGTAGAGGGATATTACACTTGACGGATGGTAAAAATTGACTAATCTTCTTCGGCGGCTTGTAGTATGTTTTAATGGAAGCTCGCTTCAAGATGTAGCCAACCTTGTCTGTGACTCCTCTGACATAAATGGTAGTACAGCAGGTACACGCTCGACTGTGGCCGGCATCACTCGGCCACTGTGACGTAGGCGCAGGACCCGAAGCTTGTTGTAAACAAATGGTCACCCCCCTGAAGAAAAAACCCCCCCCCCTAAAAAAAAAAACCCACCACCCCCCCCCCCACCACCCACGGGAATTCAGAGAAAAGAAAAAAAAAAAAAAAAACACCAACCCCCCCCCAACCCATACCCACAAAAAAACACGACCCCCCAAATTAACCACCCAAATTAAAAACCCCCACCCCCCAAAAAAAGGTTCTCAAAAAAAAAAAGCGTGAAAGAACATATAGCTGACGTGAAGCACCGACACTCCGGCAAGTCTGCAGTCTGCGAACATGTTCAAGATCGTCCCCACCATTACATTCGTTTTGATAAACCACAAATTCTCGCAAAATAACACCGATTCCTACCAAGGATGATACGCGAGGCTATTGAAATTAAAAAACATCCAAATTTCAATAGAGAAGATGGATGGGTGCTGCCACCTGCTTGGGATCCTATAATTAACAAAATTAAACCCAAACCTAAGCATACCACTGCAAGACTTCATGATACTATAAGCTCGTTTTGCGTAAATTGGACCAAAAATTAATATTCAAAAACTGAAGGTAGCCGGACTAACTATGACATTGGGACGTCAAACATCTGTCCCTCCCGTGACCATGGGTGCTGTAAAGCACCCGAAACGTCGGGAATTAAAAATAAGTAAAAGTAATGAAATAAAAGCGATGAAATCCGTAAATTTAGTTTTATACAATGTGTAGTGTTCGCGTAAATTTAAGAAATCATTATCCTTACAGTTGTGATAGAAGACATAGCGCTTCCCCCTCCATCTCCCTCCTATCGGAGACGATTAATGTTATCATTTTGAGGTTAGGTCTATGGGTTTTCTTTTTGATGGGATGTCGGGGTCTAGGTGCCACTCCCCCTACTACCCCAAATTCCTATGAAATTATTCGAAATTTTAATCTATTTAATTGCCCTAAACCTTTTTTTTTAAATATACCAATGAAATTATACGCATGCCACTTTTTTACAACACAGGAAATTGTTTATTTTTTTTTACAATGATCTGTTAAATACAACCGATGAATTTATTATAAAAAACGTTTGTGCGGACGCTTTTATATTTTAAATTATAATTTTTTAAAGATGTAATATTTTTCTTTACGCTAGTTACACTTAAAATAGACATATTATTAAATAAAATTTATTAAATAATATTATTCAAGTAAAACAACACAAAAAAAAAACAAGTAATGAAATTTATAAAAAATATTGTGTTAGTTTCGAAAAATAATAATACTTATTGCCCATCACTTGTCATGTCCTACTGACAGAACAAGGACAAACATTCATTAGACGGTCGCAGTATAAGATTTTACAATACGACGAAGTCATTCCTATTTTTATTTTTATTGCAGTATTGGTTCTATATAACTCATGCAAATTAAACTGTTCGGTCCTTTAGATCTTCACACATTACTCAAAACTTGATTACAGCAGTTCTAAAAACTATATACAGTAATGACCAGGAAGTTTCATAGTGGACTCTTATTACATTAATGGGGAGACAGGAAGAGATTCTTATTTTATGAAAGTCGTTCAAGTTGCGTATTTAAAAATATGTACATACCATATTATATATTATGACCCTTAAATCCAAACAAGTATTTATGTAAAATATTAATATAGTGATTTTTACAAGGTAGCGGCTGCACTAAGCGTATGATTCAATGCATGTTATTTACGACTCCAACCGTAGCGGGATAGCAGGTTAGGCTTATTAGGACCCTATAAATGATTGTTTGTTATTCATTCAGAAAAAGATATTCGCATGAAATGAAACAAATGTTAAAATTCAATTACTGTCATAATTAGAATACATTGTACTAGGATACTGGGTTAAGAGGAAAATACCATACCCTTAAACAATATTTAATAAATACTACAACTTAGTTTTCGTAATATAAACAATATAATAAAATTGACAAAATATCACAGTCATAATCATATGTCACATGAAACTATTTGGAACAATCAAAGCGGTGTTGCCTACTGTACAGTTTTAATTAACGAAATCATTCGATATAGATGCATATATCGCATCCATGTGCATCAAGCGATTGTGTTGCTCACACAAAAAAAATACATTCTCGCAATAGCATCATCTCTACAACATTTTGGTTTTCAAACATAATAATCATACAGCTTCTCTTGATGACTGAATTACTGAATAAATGTTCGACAAAATCAACTAAATAATAGTAAATGGACAACCACAGTTAGACTTATTTACCTTTTTACGAAGACAGATATTCATCATGCATTACAAGTTCACACGGACCACTAACAAATACTCGCCTTGAATAAACTAATTTAATTTTTATGAAATACGGACAAATCAAACTATGCATCAACTTTGACTGTGCAAGTATGCATCTCTAAGTTTGAAGATTTGATTAAGAGATCATATTTGTCAGTGGTTATGAGTACAATACAAGAAAAAGACAGGTTGTTTGCTGAGTTCAGTGGACACAGGTTCTACAAGGTGGCTATGGAATAAAATCTCGTCACCATTACTTAAAGAAAAGCTCCTTTAGGGTGCGCTAGAATTTAAACGTTCACCAATTTATACGCCATATTAAATATACAGTTCAAAATTTAAATCAAGTTATAAAAAATAATGTCGGGTCCACACTATTGGGAAAGCTATTCACAGATATAGCAAAATAATATTTGGGACTTTAATACACTATACTTTCGTTACTTTTACAGGATTAAGAACCTCTTAAAAATCTTAATGAAAAATTAGTAATAATGTGAAGTCGGCAAAATTCGAAGTAATGTTTTTTATTTATTTTATCTAAAGATACACAATAGGTGTAATTCCTAGTCAATTTAAAGACAATGTTTTACTAGTGATGATAATAAGTTTGTACATATATTTACTCTCTCTTTAATGAAAACGATAATGTGATGATGAATATAGCGAAAGAAGCATACCTGGGGCAAGTACGAGAGGCTCTTTGTGCTCTCGGCGTACTTGTTGATGGCGCGCAATTCTTCCAGCGTCATGTGCGGACTGGAACTGGAATTACAAGACGACTGTGATGATGAACTGACGGAAACCTGGAAAAATTAAATGTACAATCAAAAAATCTATAAAATAAATTACTATTAGATAATTATTAAGGACATAATAAGATGTGTGATCTGAGCGACAGCTTTGAGCGAGCATGCTAGGTGTAAAGATTACCTTTCAGCCTAGAAATCCCTCCAAACAGAAAAAGGTAAAAGATTGGTAACTTTACTTCTTCGTCCAAATAGCAGTGCTTGTACTATTCATTTATTCTTCACGGATTGGTCCAATGTAGTCATAGACTGTGAAGTATTTTATTATTTGTTGGATAATTTAATATATGTTCACAATACAAAAAATTACAACTGTAATGAAAAAGTAATATACATTCTTCTGTAAACACTAGGAACAAACACAAGTTAGTGATTCTAATCACTCAACTCAACTGAGTGAATAATTTGTTCATACGTCAATGTATACGTTTTCACAACAAAGTTCCAGAAAATATATAACATCTCTCTATCATCAAGTTTAATTTTTTATTCAAGTGTACAAAAGGGTTACTATAACATAAATAAATATTTAACAAATAACAATAATAAATAACAAAAAATAATACTTCGTTGATAATAAATCCTTTGAATGGCTTCCAAGCTGTTTCTTAAATAAGTTTTTAATTAAATATACAATCTGGGTATAATCGTGTAGTGGCAGTGTAAGAATACCCACTACCCCAACCCCATATCGTCCTAAGGATATCGTAATGGGCGCCAGAGGGGAAACATCAAAATAATAAAAACTGCGGTTGCCAACTCGCTTGCCTATGAGGCCTATGTTTAGCAGAGGACTTTTATAGCCTATAATAGATGGTACGTGTGGGGCCGGCATTACAAAAGCGGAGGTTACCTTGAAGACGCTCTCCTCGAGCGATATGGAGAGGCGCGTGCAGGAGTCGAGCAGGCTGTGCTCGGGGATGATGCCGAGGCCAAGCGCGCCGCCCGCCGCGCCCGCACCGCCGCCCGCCAGCGCCAGCGCCGGCATCGACTGGCACTCCTCCGACTTCGACAGCCCTGCGCATACCGCACACACGTCACGTCGCACACAACTACCTTTACCTAGCGACTGCACCAGATGTCGCTTATTGACCGCAAGGTGAAGTTTTCTGTTACACAATGTCATTATAGTTGACAAAATGCGTTTTAACTTTTAGTAATATCCGTAGTTTAGTTTGTTTATTTCTAATATGATTAATATAAAAGATAACTAAAATAATGATTTCTTATATTTACGCGAACACTACACATTGATTAAAACTACTTTTACGTATTTTATCGCGTTTAATTTTAATTATTTGTACCTCCCGACGTTTCGGGTGTTTTCCAGCACCCATTGTAATGGGGGACTGAGATGACTGACGTTCCGATGTCTTTGTTTAACCCGGAGTACCTTCAGCTTTTTTACTGAGAGAGAACTGCCATATAATAAAATGCCTTAAACTGTCAGAAACAAATTGTTTACGGTTCACTTACCATACGACAGTAACACTGAAAGTTCGTAGAAAATCAAAAACTGAACAAACCAGCAAGTTATTAGTTTTATTATATCTTTTCAAAATAGTGTCCATTTACATCAATACGTCGCTGCATCCTATGAAATCACTGAGAAAAGCACTTTGCCCACTCGTCCTTAGCGGTCTCTTCGACGGCATTTTGAAACGCAGCCACTGCTTCTTCGGCGTCCATAAAACGTTTTCCTTGAAGTTTTTCTTTTATTTTTGGTAATAAATGAAAATCACAACGTGCGAGGTCGGGGCTATTGAGCGAGTGAGCGACCAAGTAATTCCACGTCTGACGTCACCAAGTAGTCGACTGTTGACTTGGCGGTGTGCGACGAGGCGTCGTCGTGGTGAAGGAAGATCCTACTGCGATCCTACTGCGAGGTCATTTCTCCCGAACTTTTTCGAAGACAAGTGGCAAACAATTTTTAGTGTAACACTCTGCAATAACTGTTTTTCGATACTCTAGAACAATTGTTGCGTCCTTCGGAAGAACGAGGCCACCATCTTTTTTCCCACGCTTTGACCTCTCTTCACTTTAGTTGGCAACTCCTCGGAAGGAAACACCCAGACAGTAGGCTGTCTCTTAGTTTCAAGATCATTACAATAAATCCAGCTTTCGTCACCCGTAAATATGTCGAACACAACATTGAGTCACCTCCGTCAAATCTTTGAACTATTTCACGACACCAATCAACACGACGGAGTTTTTGGGCATGTGTCAAATTATGAGGTATCCACCGGGCACAAAGCTTTCTGATTGCTAAATGTTCATGGAGGATTTGGTGCACTTGACTCATTGTCAGTCTCATCATACGCCGCACAACACTGATGTTTTTTTTTTCTTCAGTCGTCGCCGTAGAAGGCCTTCCCTCACGCAGATCATCGGTGAAATTAGTGCGACCACGTTTAAACTCATTAAACCAGTTGTAAATAGTGGCACGAGATTGGGCTCCATCGTGAAAGGCCAATCGAAGTCTATCATAACTTTCTTGTTGACTTCAATGACATCGAAAGGCATAAAAAATCATTTAAGAAATTTTTCTCGCGTTAAATTCATGCTGACGTGACAGACAATTTTGAATTTGCCGCCAAATCGTAAACAAATGACAAATTAATAAAATACATACACAATAATATTAGCAAAGAGTTCCATTTTTAAAATTAGAACTTATTTTTTTATTATATCGTTAACAAGTGGCCAGTACTAAAAACTTTCAGTGTCGCCCTCGTACAAAATACGACAACTTTATGTTAATATTCTGAGAAAGTGTGTGGTCCTTTAGTGGTCGAGCCGATACATTCATCATGTCGTCATAATACAACGTGGCTCCACCTTTAGATAGTTTCGGGCAAACAAATTTGTAAACGCTGTTTTGCGCTAAATAATTTTTTCAACCACTTAAAAAGATTATTCACTTCAAACTCCTATGGTGTTCGCATAATCACTGACGTAAAAAAACTATTCCAGCAATTGGTTTTAACAATTGATCTCAAAATTCCTATAACAAGTTCTTCGGCTTGCGGGGTCTTCGTTTATTTGTATATCATTATTTCAATAGTCAGATAGAGCGATACTTTGATCACAAGATAGAAAAATAATCGGTTGATATTATCACACCGCCAATATTATTTAATGACTCCTGATAAATTAAAAAAGTTGGAAATTATTTTGTTCCAATATCAATAAGATAGGGGTGTCTAATCGTTTTAATATAGGCTTCGATTTCAGTTCAAATACCAGGGGATTCACCGGTCTTCATCTTTTTCAATGCATGTGTTGGCGACGCGAGATAAACATCTCATTAAGTCTTTCAATGTTAGGCTGAATATTTGAAATAATTAATTTTATTAAATGATAATTTCTGAATAAATAAAGGTTATTTGTACTATCTTAGTCATGCGTTACAAAGTAATCGGCTATGTACCTAATACGATTCAAATAAAGAATTAAGAACATTCCATTCGCTTTAAGCACACTTAATTGTTTACATAATATTTTGATCACTGATAAGACACACCAATGTGTTAGATAAGGACAGTTTAATGCTAGAGTGAAATAGTGTATATATCAGACAAGGATAATCTTAGAAAGGGATGGCAAGAGCCTCCTATAGGATCCAGATCCAGAGTCTTGTAGATTTGAGTTTGCCAACTTGTATAGGTAATTAGCAGAAAAGAAAAATGTAAGTCCCAACCGTCTCATAATTAAGAATATTAATTAAAATAATATTTTTAGTAAAAGTTTTTAAAAGTATGTAATAACGACTTGTTAATGTTTTGACAAAATTTTGTATTAGAATAAGATGATAGAAATGTCAATAAAGTTCTGTTTTAGTGAAAAAATAGCGAAATAATGAAAATATTGAATAATACATTAAAGATCTAATTTTGCTTAAAGTTTTGTTTAAAGATCTGTTTAAAGTTTTAATTCTTGCATGAAACTGTTGTATTGTATAAGATAGGTGAAAATATTGATGGAAATTGTATCATAAAAACTGTATTTAACATTTTAAGGTTTATGACCATAAAAATTGTTTATAGAATATCTATACTATGCTTTTATATAATGTGAATGTTTAATTGTTTAATGATGTGTTTACATTTGTAATTTTTGTTGAAATATAGTTGTTATGTGTTATTAATTTGAGAAATAATGTTATGATGCAATATATGGAAACGTGATAGTGAAAATTATCGATACATGAGGGGTTTTCCGCGCCTGGCTCTCTTTAAGGTTTAGGTCGGGAGTACATCCGGACCACGTCCGCCGCCTTATATTTACTTCCGCCTGGGAGGGAGGAGAAGGAAGGAGAACTTGGCTTACGTCGAGCTTTGAGATCGCTCCTGACCCCTCCTGGGATGATATATCCCAACACTGCGCTTAACCTAACATACTGGAAAGCGAGCTCCGGAGGCAAGGTGTGCTGCTGTCAGGAGAGCGCACACTGTTGGTGACATCGGACCTGCATCGAGATCCGTCTCCGTGGGACCTTGAAGTCACTGACCCTTTGGCATATCCCTTTCCAGAGGCGCGAAATACGCAGCGACTGTCTAGAACTAGGCCATAACCTACACACTATGAAGGAGCACCTGAGGCCCGGCGTACTGCTACTCAGGAGCGCACGCCTGTCGGTGGAATTGGCTCTACGTCGAGACCTGTCCTCTGCGAGTCACCGTGGGGCTTCGAGACCGCTGACCCTTCGGCAGATCCTTCCTAGAGGCGCGAAATACGCCAAAGGATAGCCAACAATGCCGTTCCTGAACGGCTCCCAGCACCGGCCCATAGCAATGGGCCGTGAGGTTTACCCGAGTAATGGGGAATGCCCCGAGGCCCGAAACCTGCTGGGCAGAAAGCCCATGCAGACGACTCGTAGGCCCACTGAGTCGTCAACCACTTTCTTTTGAGAGAGCGGTTAAGGTTCTAAGTCGAACGTCTTATCAGGGGCCATGCCCACCGCATTAATTCCCGTACCCAACGAGTTATGGCATAGGAAAAGGGACCAGTAATTGGTTGATCACTGTTACGGCGTGAGATGAAGAACGCGGCCGTACGTTTCAGTATGCATAAGATTAGAAAGCGCACCAACTTCAAGCAAGTCGTATAGGATATGCAAAAACAAACCGAAAATACAACTATTTTGACTAGTACTATGTTGATAAGAATATGTGATATCTATTTCAAGGTTCGGTGACTAATTGGTGACCGTCATATACCGCATTTGAAACATATTGCTCCAACGAAACAGGAGGAACTAATATGCCGTAGGGAGGATTCTGGATTCCTTTGGGAGGATTTGTGGCCTTCCTAGTGGGTGACCTATGTTCAGCAGTAGACTTGTGAAGCGCTGTAATGATGATGATGAGGGAGGATTAAGGCTTAGAATCATATATCATAGAATAACTCCAGTCTCGCTATTAATTATGTGACAAGATTAAGTGACCAATTAGTGCCTATTACTTTTTAAAAATTTCACTCATTTATCAAGGAGGCTTGGTGAAAAACTTAGCCACAAATGCTGCGCATATAGAATTATACCTATGAATGTTTAAAATGCCTATGATATATTTCTAAAATACGTTTTTTTTTTTTGTTAGTAAGCATATACTACCTCCTTAAGTTAATTTTTAAAATTACCATGGGATTGGTGTGAATTGTCAAGTGGTTTTAACCCCTGGTCTGATATTGTAACTCAATAATATTTTTTTTCTTTATTTACTTATTGTCACCAATTCCTCCCCAAATCTTGATGTTATAAAATTCAGGAGATCGCAATTCTAGAGTGCGAATATTAATTATTATGGTTATACGGTTGAATTCTAGACTAACGCCAATAATGGTCGCTATCCGGATTAAAAATGGACCTATTTTGCTTTACTTTCTGCATTTGAGAACGCTGCAGTGCTATTTTTTGCTTAAACTAAACAAAGCAACAGTATATTCACCCCTAATAAAAATTGTTATAACCTAAAACACAATAAAATGTTATATTTAAAAAAAGTCAAGTAAGCCGAATAATATCTGAACTACTAATAAAATAATGGATAATAAATTGATTAATTTCCTAACTGAAAGGGTCTTTACAGCTGAAATCTACAATTAGTGCTACACGTGTTACCAAAATTAAATTCTAAGTGCTACCAGAACCCGAACCACGGTCAAGATATAACATGACGTTAAACCAAATGAAAATCGTATGAGTTGTTAATGATTTATAAATTTTCACCGCACTCACCTAATAATAATTTAAAGAGTAATTATTGTACATTTACTTCGGTATTTTTAACAACTAAACTGGGATCATTGACGACCTGCGAAAAATGCATGCATTATTTTATAACACAAATATTATAAATGTAAAGTATAAACGTAAACACAAATAATGTAGGTACCTTCTAAGTTGAATTTGTTGCCCCAGCGATCGCATTCGCACTGCAACCATGTTTTCTCTGCTTCCAAAGACAGCTGCCCTAGAAACGGAATTAAAATTGTGTTGTTACGAGTGAGGGTAGAAAACTAATAAGCCTTAAATCTTCCCCATTCGTTCAAGCCGTATAAAGGTGTAAAGTACTGCACAGGCAACTCGCTTTGGTCGTCCCACGAGTCTTAATCGTTGTCTTTATTCTGTAAATCATGTAATTCTTTTAGTACAAATCAAGAAGGTTTGTGTTGTTCGTTTGCATACGAGTACTCGTACTTCATTTAATTTATGATATCTTATATTTACTTCTAATGCGTTCAATTAATATTTTATAACGTATAGTCGTTACTAACAAGTGTTCATTTATTGAAATAATTGAGAGTATTCGTTATCACGATATTCAATACACCCCACTTCTACCAGGAGTATATTCAATACACGGAGTTGTCGCTTACTCTGGATTTATAGTACATAATGAATGTTATCCAGTAGGTAATTTAAAATCCGCGATTAGCCTCGGCTTCGCACGGGCGATTTTAAGATCTCGACAACAGCTCCACCTACCGAGGCCAAGTGTGAATCTAAACCACCTAGGAACTCACTCAAACACACACAAAAAAAAATTCATCAGAATCGCTAGAGTTATTTTCGTGTCAGTTTTAGTGAGACTAACGGACTGTAAATGATTTTTATATAAAGAAATAACGCCTTAAAACCAACCCCATGTGGCAATCTTTTTGACTTTATAATATATAATTTAAAACAAATAACCGTGTGATGGCGGTGTAAGAGAATCCAGCGCCCCATTTCGTCCTGTGGGTGTCGTAATATGCGACTTTGGAAAACGCCAGGAAGATCTTATGGCTTCCGATAGATGACGATAGTAGTGAAATAAACGAGATGGTTATAACTGTATCAGCCAGACGTCAAATACCCAGACAGGCGACAATGGTTCGCAATGTTTGCTACTACGATTCAGTTAAAAAAAATTTTTATAGATTAGGGTATAAACGAGAACACAGTCCACATGATGATAAGTGGTGGAATCAAAATGCAGATGCTTTGTCAACTGTGGGGACTAAGATAGAAATGCCTCGTTTCCAGTAAAAAGATTCTCCGGTTCTCTACACTCACCATACGAAACATAGCAGCATTAAGCTGCTATTTTACGCTGGTATTGTGTGAAATAGTGACGACTAAAGCAAATCCTCTTCCTTACAACGGCTAAGAGGCTAAGACCCTTGTTCAGCGAAGGACTTTTACAGGCTGGTAGAGAACATTTAAAAATAATTCTGGTTAATAATATTTAAATACTTTTTTTAAATGTGTGTATATATTACCGTAATTAAGCAGCAAAAAGTCCACAATCAGTCTATAAAATATAGCGATGCCATATAGCTATTACAAGGTGATGATGATGACTCTAGAGTCTAGACAGTGACAAAGCTGAAGCTCCTTTGTCTCTGCCTAGGAGTCCATCTGGAATCTGGGTTATTAATCACACTCTTACTTATTTCTGCCATCTACTATCAATATACGATTAAAATTAAAAGAAAACTATAATAGTGTAGTCACGGACTCACGGACATTACATGTTAGCAATTTAGGTTCTTTTTGTTTAGTGACGGTATCATCATCATCATCATCATTACAGCCCTTCACAAGTCCACTGCTGAACATAGGCCTCCCCCAAGTAATGCCACAAAGTACGGTCCTGAGCCACCTGCATCCATCGACTTCCTGCATATCTTACCAGGTCGTCACTCCATCTAGTGGGGGGTCGCCCTACACTACGCCTACCGGTACGAGGCTGCCACTCAAGAACCTTTCTTCCCCATCGGTTATCGGTTCTTCGAGCTATATGGCCGGCCCATTGCCACTTCAGCTTACTAATCCGTTGGGCTATGTCGGTCACTCTGGTTTTACTGCGGATATCCTCATTTCTGAGTCTATCACGCAGAGAAACTCCGAGCATAGCCCTCTCCATAGCTCGCTGAGCGACCTTGAGCGTCCTCATACGGCCAGCAGTGAAGGACCACGTCTCAGATCCGTATTCCGTGTAGTGGCGGTTAAGAATATCCACTACCCCATATCTTCCCGTGGGTGTCGTAAAAGGCGACAGAGGGAAACAGGCAGGAGATGGGCAGCAGCATCTTCCTGATAACAGCAACTGTACGACAAAAAAAAACTGCGGTTGCCAACCCGCTCGCCAAGCGTGGCAACTATGGCAATATACCCCCCATGAACAATTACACAAATAGTGACGGTATAATAAGAATATTTACTACTATCGCCTCGTAGATGTCTTAAGAGGCCACAGAGGGGAAAATACCAGAGGCGGCAATGTCTTCGTAAGTCAACTGAAATATAAAAAAAGACGATCGCAAACCCGTCTCTTGCCAAACGTGGCAATCATGGCAAATATCAATCTATGGTGGAGGTCTACGTCCAGCGTGCCTTTCGATAGGTTGTAACAGTAAATAGTTGTAGCCGAGAAGGAAAAGGGGAGATCTCCCACCGGGCAAGGTGTTCTGCCCAGGGAGCGGTCAACACTCCGTGTGATAGTTCGGAACTACTCTATATATACTGTTTTTGAATCGGAATTTTGATAGCGCGATTTAGGCTTCAATGTGTTTTCGCTTGTGGCGCGACGACAGCCCCGCCACATAGTAATCTCAGGTTGTCTACGTCTTTCTTTGAAGTTGATTGCAAGTGGTGCGCTGCAACTGCAGTAGCCTCTTAACCATCTGGCGTAATGTTAGCTTATTTGCCAGATTAATATTTATAAAAACATGTTATGCATATTTTGTAAAAAAAAATAAAGACAATGATACACAATCCGATTGTATCAATCATAGAGCGTAAAATGTCCTTAGAGTAACGTGCCGTTTACAAAAAAAAAAAATAATTGCTTACATTTACTGTTGCAACGTTCAGTGTATTCTGACCATTAATGAGATAACAGTGTTATGATGCGAGTAGTTGCATTCATTTTTCAAGAACGTAATCATCCCATGAGTGTCGTAAAAGGCGACGGAGGTAAACAAATCAGGAGATGGGCAGCAGCGTCTTCCTAATAACGACTGAAAATAAAACCGCGCTTGCTACCCCAAGCGTGGAAACTACGGCAAATTGGGGATATTTGGGATATATATAGGGGAGGCCTATGTTCAGTAATGGACTTTCGGTCCAACTTACCATCCATTACAGCTTATAAATACTGGATGAATTTTTTACCGTCTGGAAAAAATTTATGTAACACGTGAACGGAGTAGAGAAGCCTATGGCACTGATATTTTACAAAAAATTAAAACAAAAATTTTTGAAATTAAACATTTAAAATTTTATTGAAGTGAAAACTTCTTTAGCGGCGTTGTACACTTTTTTTGTAATGGGTAAAAAATGTTAAACTCGCGTCAGGACACGTGACTCTGATCGAAAACGCGTAAGGCCTCTGCCTCGAATCTTGCGGGCAGCGGAGCGACGGCGACGGCGGCGCGGGAGCGGGGCGGGCAACGCAGACCCGTTCACGAAACTAGCGGGCAGATCGCGCGACACTATAGCGGCGTAGTGATGTGTTCATGGTGTGTTGTCTGAACAACGGCGACAACATCTTTTTGAATCAAATTTATGGCAAAAGAAGAAGTGAATCCCTACTACTTATAGGGCAAGGAAAAAAAAGCCGAGTTTTATCGAAATTACGAAGAACAGAGACAATGTCCCGACAAATTCTACGACTACACCAGAATGAGCGTAAAAACTTTTAACTATATTCTTGAAGCTATCAAGGGCGATTTAGATTCAGTTCGTTTTTAATTTCTTCCCATAACTGGTTATTTACTCTTCTATTTTTATGGTTCACATCTTTGCTGTTCCATATCGGTGTTCTCTCAAAAATTGCTGAAATAATTTGCTCTTGCACGTCCGAGGACATTTCGAAACGTCACAAAAATTAATTGCACAACACTGCAATGCAGACGTGCGGGCGGTCACCGCTTGACTGGAGTACACCGCTCGTTACCCGCCCCCGCGCCGCTGCCAAGCCCCTGTTTTCGAGTCGGTCCATTTGATTTTACGCATAAGATCCTGCCGCTCCCGCGCCGCCGCCGCTGCCGTCCCGCTGCCCGCAAGATTCGAGGCAGAGGCCTAAGACGGATGGAGAGAAAGAGGCAGCCGGCGCGGCGTAGGAGAGGAAGTATCCCCCTCTCTTTCTACGGCGCGGCGAAAATGTATGCCTGCACCTGCTGTATCATTTAGTTGTGTACGATAGCGCAATAAATAAATATTGTATTCTACCACATAAATGGTAGTACTTTTATACTGATATTTAAAGCAATTCGTGCAAAATTGTTCCCTAACCATTCCAAAATATCAAAAATGCACAACGTTAATATTCAAGTTTTCACTTCTGCCGGCACTCCCGGAGTGCAACCCGACGTTTTTTTTTTTTGGACATTTACTTTGTCCTATGCCCTTCAGCCTGTGACCCTGCTAAGTGACAAGGTCAAAGATGCCTACTAAATTTATTGTTTTATTGCCATTCGTAAAGTAGGACGGATATGATTTGAATTTCGATAGATTTTAATTTATTTAATTCAAAATTTTTGTTTTTATTGTTTGTAAAATATCAGAGCTTCTACCTCCGGTTCACTTGTTTTTTTTACGGTAAAAGAAGTCATCCAGTATTTTAATATATTTACAGTAAAAAAATATTTATTCAAATTCCTACAAACTGTTAATTACAATGCGGACGCATATCGTTTTAAGAAATTGCTAATATCTCCATTTAAAGCCAACTAAATTAATTTAATCGACTAGGTCGCTTTCAATTTAGACGTATCTTGTCGGAGCGCTGCGGTGCCGAAGCGGTGCGTTTGCGAAAAACATGAAAGTAACTTAACAAAGTTTACTCACGGGCATATGCCTCTTGATCGCGATGGTGTCGAGGCGGTGGTGGATCCCGGAGGAGCAAATCCATTCATCCTTGACGCGCAATATCCGGCCGGTTACCCGGGCGTAATACTCATAGTTGTCCCGTCCGAACAGATCCCCGGCGCTGAACTGCTCGATCAACTGCCTCATTATACGCGTCGCCACCTGCTCGCACAGTTATATACAACTTAAATGATCATTCTATTAGATAAGGCATACTTGTAAACGAACCTTGGATAATTACAAGCACTAGTGTACAACAATAGTAGATCTTAAACATTATAATTCCTATAAACAAGTCAATACTTTCGTTTTTGAAGCATTGAAAAAACTTAAAAAAAAGTTATGAAAATGCATCATGCCACGAATGCAGCAAATTTTCTATAGCACGATAGGTGACCGCTGCGAAAGCAACACAAAAGTAGCTGAAATAAAAATGTGATAGATACCTACATGGCAAAAAAATTGCAATTTAGTACAAAGCTGTAGTAAGTCGTAGCTTAAATTTTGTAAGATAGGAATTTCAATATGATCTGTTTTAACGTTTCATAGCGCCGTGGTATCACCTTGTTGTTAGCGCTCGCTGTAAATTTCACAATACGTGAGCAACCCGGGTTCAATCCGAATCCTCAAAGTCTGATTTACTAGCGAAGGAAAACTCTTAAGAAAGAAAAAATATTTCAAAACATTTGATTAAAGCCCCTCAAAAATAAGGCATTCCAGAGTGGGATATATAGTTCCTTAATGTTTCATAGTTGAAATTTTTCATGTTAATTACAATGCATAAAAGCCTTAGTGACATCTTTTGATTGCTTTCAATAACAACGTAACCTTCAACGGTTTATTTATTTAGGTCAACGTGTAGCCATTGACCTAACCTACAACACAAATACATCTGGCCCAAGTATTTGACACATAATTTATTAAACAGGACCAATTAAGACCCAAAGCATTTTAACAACGCGACTTTAACTACAACTCTTTTCTCATTATTGTTGCAATTTAATAACTATAATAATTTATACTTAATAGAAATATTAAGCATTATTATTTTATTAGTATTAATTATTATAAATTAATAAATTTATAGATATCATCACACCAAGAGAATTACAAGGTGCAAAGCCCTGAGTAAAGAATACATAGAGTTATAGGGTATATCGATTTGATAAGCTTTATGAGCTTTCACCGCATTTCCGTAGCGGTATCACTTTTATTAAAAATTTAACAGCTAAAATATAAAAAAGCAAATATTTTCTAATGCACTAAGTTTAAAACTTTTAAAACTAAATTATATTAAATTTAAATGGAAGTCGTTGCAGGTTCTTAACATTTTGTTTTATTTTTTTGGGCTCCAGTAATACAAAAAAAAAACAATGTAATATTTATTGTTTGTGCCATTTATGTTAGTATTTAAGATTCAATATTACATATAAGATTGTATTTAAGAACTTATATTTTTATAGAATATTTTTAATATAATTCAAACATTCGATATTCTAATCTAAAATAAAATTTGCGAAGAAAAATGCTACCCTAGCAGTTCACCAAATAGAATTTTAACAGTAGGATAACATAAATTAGAAAAAAAAGTACAATTCGTAAGATAAACTAAATACAATACACAATAATAAAGACAGGGACATTCACTCATCATAATTAATCTCTTTTCTGAGGGGAAGTCTCATCAATAAACCTATAACAAATAATCAATGACAATTTAAGTGTTACTGAAATACTGACGTTAACTGCAATTAACAAATAATACCATAAACAAAGCTACCTACGTTTATAGCCGTGGCACTGAGCTTCATAGAATAAAATAATTTTTTATTCAATATAGATTACAAGTAATTCTTATTGAAAGTCAATATTTTACGTTACCACTGGTTCGAAAAAAACCTCTGTCCTGGGAAGAACCAGTGATAAACTCAGCCGGACTTTTTTTAAATAAATTTTACAATGTCACAAAATATTTACAGAATTTGTTTTAGAAACAGCTTGGAAGCAACCACCTCATTCCCAGGGGTTATTATCAACCATGTATTCATTTATATCATAATAACCCTTTTTATACAGTTTAATTAAATATTTAAACTTGGTAATAGAGAGACCTTGTATATTTTCTGGGGCTTTGTTGTAATAACGTATACATTGCGCCAAGAATGAATTACTGACTCTGTGGAGCCGAGAAGCTGGTATCACTAATTTGTGTTTGTTCCTAGTGTTTACAAAGTGTATGTCACTTTTTTTACTAAAACTTGATGAAACTTGGTTACTAAGACTTGATGAACATGATGCGGTCTCAGTGTAAGATGATTGTATAAACATGATAAAAACAGATTATGTATGATTCAATTAGAGAGGAAATGACTTATGATTTTTGTGAGTCAGCTGTTATCATATCAAATAAGCAAATTTAGCTAGACTACACAACAAAGGTGCTTAAAAGGAAAAATGAAAATGTCTTAATATTTTACATAGATTTATATGGGTTTACATATTTCACATATATATAAACCTATATGAATCTATATATACAAAGATTAAACAAACGTGACGCAAACATTACGCACAGAACCATAATACATATGGAAAAAAGGAATAAAAATAACAGACAATAAACAGTAATTTATGTAATGTCCAATTTATGTAAAATCCATTACACAAATTACCGTTAACCGTTTGATTTTAGTGTTATAAAAATTTCTACCAATAAAAATTGTCTATGGTATGGATAAATTGCGAACTAACTAAAAGCTACATATGTTCTACATTTTATATTAAAAATGAAGCCAATATTAAACAAAAACCATCAATAATACAATCATATCTACATTGCACAACAATACTGATTCGTATCATACTCACGCTCACTTCAGCCTTTGCCGCATGTTTTAGACAATATCGTGAACAACAATTCAAGCTATATACAGTTAAAATTTACATTATTTATATGTATTGTTTTTTACACAAGCCTATATATGGAAACCTTGTCTACTACAAGACTTAACTCCTGTAACTATTTATTGAATTCAGTACGTAAACCGTGGGAAGCTGAGGTATTAAAAATAAAACAAATTACATACAACCTTAATAATCTATATCCTCTATACGATGCATTAAATTTATTCACTATTTATTAATAAAAATAATAATTCTTAATTGTTTTTTTAAAGTCTTGCAGGTATACACTTTCTTACACTATACCACATTTTTATATTACCAATAGAAAATACTATATTTATATAAAAACAATCAAAAATGAGTTATTAAAAAGTTCCAATTTTCAATATCAAAATTTTCTAAACTGGGTAAAGCGAGTCAGACATTACGCAGAGAGACAATAAGATATCCGTATCCGAGCGCATATCTTTCAATATCACTTTATGAAATTCAATGAACTAGCACACAAAACTCAGATAATTCATATTTGTCGTTAAGTTTTTTTTATAGGATAGGGTGACAAACGAGCACACAGTCCACCTGATGGTAAGTGGTCGCTGTGGCCCATAGACATCTACATCTATCCTCGATTACGAGTCAAAATGCAGTTGGGTTGTCACCCGCGAGGGCTAAGATGGAACGCCTCGTTTCCAGTAAACAGTGTCTGCGGTTCCCTACACTCACCATAGGAAACACAGCAGCAATAAACTACTATTTTACGCTTGTATTCTGTGAGAGCGTGGTTCTTCCCCGGTCGAGCCGACCCATTCGTGCTAACAACTATACTACTAATATAACTACAGCATGGCTCTACCACGTATATATGTAGTATCATCTGTAAATACCAACATATATCGAAAGATGGCGTCGATACTATCTGCTTATACAAGTATATCTGCTGATAACATCTACAGACACAAATATGGCATAGGATTTTACCTGCAGATAATTTCACCTAGGTCCTTTTAAAGCTTTATATGACGTTCTGACCAAATTCTTCGCCTTTTATTAAAGGCTACTGTAACACGTGCATCAAAATCAAAATCCTACTCTGACGAGATGTCTAGGAAATCTAGAAGCAATATACTGAAACTTATTGTAGGTAGCAACCCGTATAAACAATCGGCTCCAAAAAACAAATCTAGTAAGTTTGAAAGATTTCGAGTGAATGTATAATTTCGTATATTATCGTGTTAGCGTAGTGTGTGATACTTTTAGATAATTAAGTTTTTATACGCAGATAAAATATTATACGCAGATAAATATTATAAAATATTATCGTATCTGCGTAGTCTGTGACTCACTTTATAGTAAGCGCAGTCGGTTGAATTTCACTGACAATAATTTGTGGAACGAATCCACTCCATGTATTTTCAATGTAGTATTCTAATGCAATGAAAATCTAGTAAAATAATGCAGTTCTTTTGTAGATACAGTACAAATTAGTTTGTTAAATTAGATTGCTGATTTCACATAATATGTAACAAGTAAACGGTACTGTATAAGCCAATAATTTTCTTTCTGATTATTATAATTTTACGGTTTTATTTATGCGAATATCAGAACATTTTTATAGTAAAGGGGGCAAACGAGCATACGGCTCGCCTGATGGTAAGTGATTACCGCCGCTCATGAACAACTGCAACACCAGGGGAATTGCAGATGCGTTTCCGGCATTTTAAAAAGGAATAGGCTCTTTTCATGAAGGTCCCTTGAATGAAAGTAATTAATTGTGAATATAAACGTGATAAAATCCCGTAAAATTAGTTTTATTCCATGTCATCTATTATTTAAATACATGAGTTACTTGTTATCTTTTCAGTAAAGCAACTTTTATTTCAAGTATTAAGAAAATTTGGTGATTTAACGAATATCAAGCAAAAAAACAATTTAAAATTAATCGTCGATGTTATCGACATCTTGCTATAGTAATCATTAAATTCCACTTTCCTTTATCGCTAAATTAAAGATTATCATTATCTACGTTGCAAGTCGTTAATGCAATAGCATTATTGTTTATGGCTTGCATTTCGATTACGATCTGATAAGTCCGGCGTAAGAGGTTTATCAAAACAAAGGACAAGTACCTATAAGACGTGTAGCTGAAGCTATCAGTTTCCAAATAGAATGTCAAGTTTTAGTTTCATTCAAATGCTTGTTGTGCATTTAAAAATCTTAAACTTTGAGCCTTTTTTATTCGTTTAGATAATCTTCATAATGAAATCTTTTCAATTTGGAAGCATGGACCTAGAATTGAAAGTTGTAATGGATTCGATAATCGAAATTCCAAATTTAATAATATCTCTTAAGGTCCATAATGTCAAATTCTTCTGTTTTCAAAAGGACTTCTGTTTTTCATACGTGGTAGAGCCATGCTGCAGTTACATTAGTAGTATAGTCGTAGCACGAATGGGTCGGCTCGACCGGGGAAGGATCACGCTCTCAAAGAATACCAGCGTGAAATAGTAGATTAATACTGCTGTATTTCGTATGGTAAGTGTAGAGAACCGGAGACCCTTTTTACTGGAAACGAGGCATTCCATCTTAGTCCTCACGGGTGACAACGCATCTGCATTTTGATTTGTAATCGAGGATAGATGTAGATGTCCATGGACCGCAGCAACCACTTACCATCAAGAGGACTGTGTGCTCATTTGTCACCCTATCCTATAAAAAAACGATGTCCTATGTGCGTACGTATGTACATACAGTACAGTGAACTTTTTCGTCTCACATATTTGGTGAAGAAATTAAGATATCCAAACCAATTTTAAATTTTATTCAAGGTTTAATTGCATAATGAATACATGATTTTATTCAAAGTAAAGTAAAAAAGATATAAAAATTGTAATTAGTCACTAATTGGGAGGGCAGAAAGTATCGAACCAACACCCATTTTATTTAAATATTCTAACAAAAACATCAATGACCAAAACACCGTACATATCCCATAGTTGTTTCACAACTAGGATATTAAATAATGCTCGCAACGTTGCGCTCCAGCGACGACGTCGTGTGCAGCGGTCACGGACGCTTAGTCGCACATCGATTCACGTGATAAATATGTTACGGAATGGGTACTGAATGATTCACAATGGATCCAATATGAACTTACCTTGAACCGCTGCACGTCCTCCATCGTGGCAGTCTTTCCATCGGACACGCAAGAGTGAAAGAATGACGGGGCAACCGACACGCCCAGGGCTTCCGACGTCATACCAGTACCTGGTGAAGCGAAAAAATACCAAGCCATCTTTAAGATTGAAATATAAAATGACAAAATATATAATTTTGTTACAGCTTATTTAGTCCTTAGATAGACGCTCGCACAAAATACCGTTTACCCACCCTAAAAAATCCACCCGATAGTCGGAAACGCGTGTTCATCTATCCATTCCTAACGCGGTGGATAATCGGAATTCACTTTTATTTGTTCTCCCGACTATTTACCCCAAATGAAATTCAGCACATACACTTTAACTATTAATAATTTTTTAATAAGCACAAACTTAAGCAAAAAATATATTACGTATTAACGCTACCGTTAACGTAACATCCTATTACGTCTTGCAATTAAATCAAATTAAACTTCCTCGTTTTAAATAATACTATTGTATAGTTTATAAATTCTGCAATATGTCCAGGTAATTACCAAAACTAATTTTATTATTGAGTAGATAGACGGAATTTGATATCCTGGATGAATTCGTCCATGTACAGTACAGCTACATTTGTAACCGTTTTCTAAATTTCTTTGCTATAACAGATGTGTAAGCGAAGAACTGGGCGTTTATTGCAAGCATTCCAAAAACGTTACTATTTGATGTTTGTCTTTAACTTAATTTTAAATTATTTTTTGCCAAGATTCCAATGAATCTTGTAATCTTATGAGGCACTTCTTTTATTTCAGCGTTGACCATTCAAACAAGACGTATGTACACATATATTTTTATAAGTAATTTCTACTAAGGGCCGAGAGAGAAAATCGGAAAAAATATATACGAATTCCGATTATCCACCCCGTCTGGAATGGATAGATAGATAGATAGTACAAGCGTTTCCGATTATCCACCCCGTTTGGAATGGATAGATAGATAGATAAAACGTCTTATCACCCCCCGGGAGGATAGATAGATAGATACAAACGTTTCCGATTATCCACCCCGTCTGGAATGGATAGATAGATAGATACAAGCGTTTCCGATTATCCACCCCGTCTGGAATGGATAGATAGATAGATACAAGCGTTTCCGATTATCCACCCCGTCTGGAATGGATAGATAGATAGATACAAGCGTTTCCGATTATCCACCAAGTCTGGAATGGATAGATAGATAGATACAAGCGTTTCCGATTATCCACCTCGTCTGGAATGGATATATAGATAGATACAAGCGTTTCCGATTATCCACCCCGTCTGCAATGGATAGATAGATAGATACAAGCGTTTCCGATTATCCACCCGGTCCGGAATGGATAGATAGATATAAGCGTTTTCGAGTATCCATCCTATGGTGGATAAACGGAATAACCCAGAATACCTGCATGAAATATGTATTTCGTACGTTTCGACGATACCTTTTGGAAACATTCCATTCAGGGTGACAACGAATGTAAATATTGATAATTAATCGAGGTAGGTGTAGATCCACGGACAATATCATCATCATCAGGACTGTATTCTCGCGAGTCGCTCTTTTTAATGGAAGTAATGGTGAAATATATTATGCTGCTACTGCTATTTCCCGATTTTATCCGGTGTGAGATGCAGTACAGGTGGCTTAGGACTTATTGCCATTCCTAGGGTAAGGTCTTCTATATTCAGCAGTGGACTTTTAATGGGCTGTAATGATAATAATTATGTGTAAGCGTGGCCCTTATCCAGCTGAACCGACCCATTTGGGCTGCAGATATAATTCATTACAGCGTGATTCTACCACATTTAACACGCATTACGACTTGGTAGCTTAGAGACTGTTTCGTTGCGGCACTACGAGATGAGAATTCGAATCCGGCACGGAACAAGTGTTTGTATCGCCTAATAGTAATTATTTCGGGTTTTTATGAATATTAAACTGTCTCCATGATACAAAAGAAAGTTCTAGGGTGGGAGTAACGTTTTTTTAAATGATATAATTGGACTAGTAATGCTGCTTCCCCTCGCTAGCAAATGAAATTTACGTTCACTGTTTTGAACGGGTTTTCCGCAATCATTCAACCGCTCACCAAAGCCTCATCCATCAATCAGCTGCATGTACCGTGTGCAGATAAAGTAGACAATAGCAGAAAAAGTCGGCGTTTTCCCGCGTACACTTCTATTACTCAGAACTTTGATTATAGGATTAATTGCATATTTAATAAATAGCGCACGACAATTATCCTTAGAACACTGAAATGTAATTTATCTCACATATAAAGTTAAAAAGTTTATTGAAGGCATGATGGCACTTAAAATGTTGATAAATCGTAATGATTTCGTATATTTACGCAAACACTATACATTGATTAAAACTACTTTTACGGATTTTATCGCGTTTTATTTATTTTATTTTTAATCTAATATCGGATCTAATATCGGGTATCGTCGGGTATTAAAAATAAAATAAATAAAACGCGACAAAATCCGTAAAAGTAGTTTTAATCAATGTTGATAAATCTATTATACGAGTAATATAAAATATAATGCTTTGGCGAATAAATACAAAAACACGAATATTAGCTTTATCGCACTAACACTATGTGAAGAATTTATAAGCCCGTAATAATTCACTGTTGCGTTCAGTGGCTGTACTGTACGTGCGCTTCTTTAATTGTAGACAGGATTTGCAAAAGAAACTGTCTCCATTAATTTGTTTACTTTTCTAAATCAAATTAGTAGTATTGTAGTATTTTAAATATTTTTTTATAGATTAAGGGTGACAAACGAGCACATAATCCATATGATGGTAAGTGGATGCTGTGACCCATAGACATCTATATTTATCCTTGATTAAGAATCAAAACTCAGATGCGTTGTCACCCCTGAGGACTAAGATGGAATGCCTCGTTTCCAGTAAAAAAGGGTCTCCGGATCTTTACACTCACCATACGAAACACAGCAGTATTACGCTGCTATTTTACGCTGGTATTCTGTGAGAGCGTGGTCCTTCCCCGATCGAGCTGACCCATTCGTGCTACAACCATAATATAGCTGCAGCGTAGCACTACCACATATAAAATTATGTATGTAAGTATGTCCACGGACGAGTACTTTTTTTCATGGCATACATCGACGTCATAGAAACCCTTTAGGAGAACTAACGACAAAGTATGAATGAGGTTGTATACTAGTTACGTAAATACGCAAAATATTTTGCATTCTTACAACACGTGCAAACATAAACAGCTCAGCTTTACTTAGATTTATAAATCAATACGTCCACCGTATATATTACTTTATAAAACGTAACAAGATTATGAGAAATTTTTATTTCAATAATAAGATTTGTAATTCCTAGATTGAAAGCCTGTTAAGAAAAATATTTTGCAGATTTCGCTCTTCTATAACCATTTTTACACACTACAATATAGAAAGGTTAATCCTATACCTTTAAACGAGTAATTGTTATTATATATATATATATATATATATATATATATATATATATATATATATATATATATATATAATCGGAATCTCGGAAAACGGCTCCAACGATTTTCATAAAATTTAGTGTCCAGGGGGTTTCGGGGGGAATAAATCGATCTAGCTAGTAATTTTCAGGCAATGAAAAACTGCAACAATATAAGAGGTAAATTTTGACACTGATAATTTTCGTTGTTGTGTGTTTTTCCTTTTTTTAGTATTTTTTTTAAAAATACGAAAATTTAAATTAAACTTAAATTTAAACTAAACACTCATGATTTTTTATTCAAATAACCAGTTCAGTTTTTTCTATTATGTCAATAAGATCAAAAAATATTATTCATGTTTCAACAGTATGTAATTTGTATCTAAATATAATTTCCAAAACACACGATTTCCAAAAAAAAAAAATACCGAGGAAAGCTCGGTCATCCATGTACTTATAATATTATGTGATTGAGCCACGCACGCGTACGAACGCAACCCACGCACGCACAGACGTGCGTTTGCACTTTTTAAAAACCATACAATAGCAGTCTCTTCTCTCTTTGTGGAGGTTGTCGAAATTTGGATTTCCAAAAATAAGACTTTCTACGGCGACAGCTTCCAAATTTGAAATTAATAGCGAACGAAATGTTTTCAACGTAACAAACTGGTATAAAGCGTCACATTTTCAGTCATTTAATTCTAATGATAATGGCACCTTGTATACGATAGTGACGTAGACGTCATTAGACAATCCAAGTGTAGAGTCAATACAAGTTACTTAATATAACATGACGCTGCCAAGTCGAGTCTCAAATGTTATTGTTCACACCAATCATAATCGAATACATGGAAAACAGAAGGATGTAGCATTACAATTGTTTTGTTTGACGTTCAACCATCACCTTATCCTTACAAAGATACGTTGCGACTGAATATAACTGATTATTTGCATTTTAGATTCAATCAGTTTATAATCGGAATAAAAATGGCCACCTACAGTTCAGTGTTTAAAAACAATTCAAAGGCATCCTCTTAATCCGTAAAGGTTATGAAACAATAAGTCCGTCGCGGTGCTTTAATGCGTTTTGGCCAACTTCAAATGCCCTCGAAATAATTTATTCCTCACATGCAGTTTCATCATGATTTTCCCTTCACCGCCGAACACAAAGCAAACCAGAACTTGAAGTTTCAATTAACAATTCCGTTAGTGACCAGTGGAGATCGACCGGATTGCTCGCGTAGTGTGAAATTGACGGCTAGCGCTTATGGGCGCTGCCACCGTTCTTTTTCTCGAACCATAATTATAATAAAATTTTAATTAATTACATACCATACAGTAAAATTTTAATTAATTACATCCCCAAGGAGGTAGATCCTAGGTCCAGACCAACATAAGACTTAAATTTGGGGAATGAAATTTCTTTCTTTAAAATTAAATGTTACATACATAAACACTCACGCCTGTCACCCAGAGGGGTAAGCAGAGACTACAGACTTCCATTTAGCACGATCCTGACATACCTCTCTCGCCTCTTCCACATCCATATCGCATACATGCTCGTCGGTTAAGGGTACTCTAAGAGTACTACTCTTAATTTGGCCCATTTTTAAT